CGTTGGTGTCATGGCCAACCTCCTCATGGAACTGACAGAATTTATTTTTGTTCCGTGACTGAACGGAACTCTTCATTGGATTCGGCTTTTCAATGGACAGCCGGTCCTTTACCTCCATGAGGATGGAGTTGCAGTCTTTATTAAACTCGTACTTGAGGACATACGGTTTAAACTTTCTTTTTCTTCTGGGACGGTTGGTCAGAGTCATTAACCGCCCAGATTTCTTTTCTTTTCTTGCTCTCTTCTTTATTTTTGGCCGGCTAAGCAGGCCGGCTGTCTTTCTGCTTGTCGGACTTCTTGGAGTCCGATTGGCTACCAGGCGAGCAGAGGTCGGTAGCTTGAATGTAGCTTTCCGCCTCCCTCAGGGCCACCTGTAAGGTGAAAGCCCCTTTTCTGGCTAGGTTGAACTTAAAGGTCGACCCGTCTCTTAGACCCTTGAAAAAGTCTGTAAAAGCTACCTCATCAGACAGTCCTTGAATCTGAATTCTGATCAGATTGAACCGCCTGACATATGAGCGCAACCTTTCTCTCTCTCCCTGCTTAACAGTGCTCAAGTCAAGGCTTGTTTTCTTAGCAGGGATATTCATTGAGAAGTTGGAAGCAAACAAGAAGGCGAGCTTCCTGAAATTGTCAATGGACCCGGCTGGCAAGTTGTCAAACCATTGTTGGGCGATGCCCTTCAATGTAGCCGGGAAGCATCGACACCAAGTGGCATCATCCAACCCCTGTAAGTACATGAGGTTGGTGTATGCCATAAGGTGATCTTCCGGGTTGGTGGTACCATCATAGGTACCCACCAATACATTCTTAACCTTGGCCGGCTGTGCGGCCTCGATTATCTCCCGGATGAACTATGCCGCCTGACCTCCGAAGAGAGCCGGCTGCATGAAGTGAGGGGGATACTGACCGTAAACCTGAGCAGGTACATAAGGGCCAGAATGGACGGTATTACCGCCTGTCTGGCTCTCATGCAGGGAGAGAGCATTCCCTGCAGATGTGTTGTTAAAGCTGTCAGGAAAATTCGACGTTGAAGCCGACTCAGACAGCTGCTGATTCCTCTTCCGGTTGATTATTTCCCGAGGGTTGATTTTTTACTTCCCCCCCGGTTGCTGAGTCCGGCGGGTGTCATTGGTATTCCTCTTAGGAAGAAGAATTTTGGACCAGTCAATGGTCCCGGCTGCTTTCTCCTTTGGATGAAGAGTGGGATGCCGATCTCTGACTAACTTCCCCTTTTCCAGGGGAGTCTTCTTGGCCGTCTGACCCTTGCTTGGGCCAGCCCGGTTTTTGGTGATCAGCTCTTTAATTTCACCCTTGAAACTTGTCATGAGTCTCATGAGTTCATCTCGGGTGACAGGTGCTGATCCAGATGCCGTATGGGTTTCCCCTTCCGGCTACCCAAGGGGTCGACTTGCACCCACCTGGGAGGCACCCCGCTCCAGAGTGTCTCTGGGCCGGATGCGTTTGGTTCTGAGAGAGCCATCATCGGCTGTAAAGGTTTCGACCTAAGGATCTTCATCCTCATGGTCTGTAAAGACTTCTGGGTCATCGCCCAGACGGTTAGGGGGTGGTACAGACTCTTGAACCATCTTCGAGGTACTCTCCCCACAGACGGCGCCAAATGTTTTGGGTGTTTTTGTCCCTCGGGAGAGTTACAGCACGAAGACTAATCCGGTGTGAGTTGTACCTGCAAAACAAACGAAGACCCCGGTTGGTTGGTGTGAGTTGACGAACAAGTTAGTAACTTGAAGGGAGAGAAAAAGGTGCGGAAATTTAGGTGGGTATCTGCTCGGATTCCAAGCTTAGATGTCTCTATCGCAGGGACAGTGTGTATAAATGGTAAAACGTGCCCTCCAAAAGAGGGAAATTCCCCTATTTATAGGGTCCTCGGGATTTGCGCCCCTGATTAGGTCACTGATCCCTAATCATTGGTGGGCTGCGCCGCATTGGCGGCTTTCTCGGGATTTGGGCCTGAAGGCTGCCATTTTCCCCCTAATTTCTGGAGTGACACGTGTCAAGCAGGGATTGGTCCACTTTGGGCCATCCTGAGGCTGACACGTGTCATCCTCTGATTGGACCACGTGGCGGGGTAAAATTACCCTAAACAGAAGCGACTTGGGAACCCTTTGATGATATTGATGCTAGGTTTCCGGAGTTCCACCTTGAGGACAAGGTGAAGCTTGTTGGGGGGAGTATTGCTAGAGATCAGCTCAGGACTCCAATATTGGTTACATACGCAAGGAAGAAGCAGGGCAAGGGGAGTGGAATCAGTTAGCAATGCAAGGGCAGAAGAGTCTTTAATTAAATAATTCTGTTAGGAAAGTTTGTTATGGATTGAGAGGAATCTTTAAGCAAGTGCTTAGCTGGCTAAGTCTATTTAAGGGGGGGAATAATCTGTTGTAAGATTTATGCTAAATTGTTGTTAAGTTTTGCTTAATATTGGGAGAGCACCTTTCCTCTCAAATGAAAGGTGTATTGACTGTGTTTTGCTGAACATTAATACATACTATCCTTCTTCCTTTTCTTATTTCCTCTGTTTAATTCCTTAGAATTCTTACAGTACTACTTAATTCATAGCAGATTCATATAAATCAAAAAATTCTGCATCTTCTACTAGCAATTAAAAAAAAAGGGCTTCAGATTCTTATGTTAGCTTAAACATTTGGTTTATGATATTCGAATCTCCCACTATAGCCCAAAAATTTCACATTTGTATTTGCGAAAGGTGCCATGCTGATTTTAAGAGCTGCAGAGGATCTTGTATGGCTATTTCCCATATCTTGTCAAGAATCTGCAGTCTTAAGTTAGCAGTTGATCCTTAATAGTTCTTATGATGAAAACAGCCTCAACATTAATCTTCAGGTTAGAGATACCCTCCTCTCTATCTTCAGAATGCCACAAGGAGCCAACTTGGGAATTCATATGGGAGTGCCAACTGATTTAATGGGAAAGAAAGTTGTCATTTTCCAGCTATGGTTAATAAGAGAGCGAGCAGTTTGTTAACCTGGTTTTCCAATGGCAGCATGTATGAATTGCTTGATGCTGCTGCAAAAAAGTGTCAAAAATTGATTCACTTCTTTTTTGCCTCTTTTAGGTGATTCTCAAACAAGTCAACAGTGCTCTAGAGGAAATAGATATGGAGAATGCACCACAATCTGCAACTTTGACATACTTCTTTCTTAATTAATTATTTCCTCCACTTTTTTAGATGTATCACTTCCTACAAATGGTAGTTTCAATTTAGATGCATCACTTTCCTTTTTAGCTAATAAATTTTCTCTATCTCATATCACATGACCCTCTTTGACTTTTCTTTTTCTCTCTCTATCCTCAAAAAATTGCCTAGGATTATGTCAATTCAAAAGTGATGCACCTACAAAAACGGAGGAAGTACGGCAAAAGCAATTGGATGGGCTAAAACAAATTTCAAGAAGAAGTAAACTAGAGTTTCGGACCAAAAGACCCCATGTGATTAGAAATAGAAAGGAGAGATATTAAGGTAAATAAGTGGGTTGGGTAAGGGTAAATTTTGTACTACCTCCATTTCATAATGTTCTTAACATTATTGGTTTGCAAAAAGAACTAATGACAAGAAGAGAGTGTAGAAAAGGAAGGTCTGCATAAGAAAGAGATGGATAAAGTAAAAGAGTGTATAAAGCTGGGTGGGTAAAAGGTGAATAATGTTAGAGAGAATGAGGGAAAGGTGTAGGTACTACGGGGTATTGGGGTAAGGTAGTAAAAAGGGATATTCCAAAAAAGGAATAAACACAATAAAATAGATATGTTAAGATCATTATGAAATGGACAAAAAGAGGATATGTTACAAACATTATGAAACAAAGGCAATGTAACTTATAATGTGAAGTGAACACTTCCTAAAATAGAATTGTTGCAATATTTGTGAAGCTTCTCAAAATAGTATTGTTGCAATTTATCAAGAACACAAGAAGTATAATCCTTTGGCTCCATTCTTGCTCATGACAAGTAAAAAGATGAATGTGGCACATCTGGCTGTTTCTTAAAGGATGAGAAGGATTCTGAAGAAAAATAAAGTAATGACAAATAGGTCAATAGCTAGATTCTGGAGATCAAATCAAACATCTGACATGGTGGGATCTTTAAGATGGAAGATGCGCAGTATTGTGGATCCAACGTAATCCAAACCCACCAAGATCGGATGCGGCCCGAACTAAGAGATGATGTGAGCTCTCATATGCGAGGGAAAATGGACTGCCTACAGATAGTATGGATGATTTTATGTATTGGAAATTTTATCCCTAGAAACTATGTAACAGGGAACTAATCCGCATCTGGACCCCCAAGAATGAATATTTCAAGGGAGCTAAGAAAATTTAGGTGATTGTGGCTGCCCTTATCCCATTTGGAATGGATCTACATCAGATTTACAAGATACGATAAACTGCTACTTTGTGTACTTTAACCCCCCAGAGGATAATGAGTATTATTCCGTTTTTTTTAAGCAAATGTTGGCCATTATACTTTGGGTTCACCTACTAGGTGATTCTTGGGAAAGTTACAAATCATCTACAAGTTTTGCTTGGGTGTTGAAGGAGGAAGGAGCTACAACTCACTCATACAAGGGTGGCTGCAAGGCATGCCTAGTTTGGCGCTTCAAGCTGATGGTTTAGCATACTTCATAGGCCTATATTGGGCTAGAAAAATGCAGTTCACACATGTTCTCATCTGAACTAACTTCTACAGAATGGTAGTTTTTAAGGTCAATATCCAATGAAGTGGGGAGAATCTGATCCACACAAATAAAATCTAAATTTCACTGCATCAAGATCTATAACTAGGCGGGCCTAAAAAAGGATTACTTCTTTGGTAACATCATACAGCTCTTGGAAGTCTTAGAGGAAAGTACATGGTTATGTTAACAAAATAATAATTAGTCACCTTTTCCCCTTTTTGTTGCCAAACTGTCATCTTAATGAACATATCATGCAATATCCAATCATCATAACAAGAAATCGATAGCTCACCTTTGCATTCTCGTTTAAGAAGGCAAAACAAAAAACAACAAGTGCTCTACGCCTTATCTCACTCTGATTGATGCCATCAATTAGCTTTGCAGCAAAAGGAGCTACAGAGAAAACATTCTGTTGATTAGCAAGTGAAACATTTCATCACAACAAATACTAAGTAATAAGACAAACATGAACAATTGACATGCTATCCAATAAGAATCTTACATAACTTGTCAGGCTTTGCTGTTCCAAAATCATCTGGATCCACTTCATGATTGCCACCATTGCCATCAATGAACATGCAAGAGCTGGAGTATGCACATATACAAGTATGAACCAACACGTACATTAATCTTTCAACGAATTATCATGCCCCAACAATCAATGAGAAAGGGAAATATGCGCACACACAACACACACACACACGCACACACACACACAAGTATGAAGCAACACAAGAACCATAAAGACCCCCAGAATATTGATGGTATATTCTTCTAAAGTCAACCAAGTTGAGTGAAATTGGTCAATATAATAAGCATATGAATATATTTTCTGACGTATTACAGATTCCCTTAACTAAAATAAGAAGGTTTGTTAACGAAGATTTGTACAGCGTCACTGCAGATTTTAGTTCTACTTTTACAATCAATTACGTCGAATTTTGTTTAATTTAAAACTACAATTGATTGAAAGACCCTCTCATGAAAGGTTGTATCAAACATCAATGTACAAGACGACATATATCAAATATCATCAACAACAATTTAAGTTTTGCCAAATTAGAATATTATACGGAGTATGATCCAAATTGTTTTTTATATGCTAGTTTGATTGCTATAGTAGAAGTCACATAACTCCCCAGTTAATGAAGTAATTTTACTTCCAAAAAAAAAGTAAAAAATAAATAAATAAAACAACAGCATTAAGTCTTAATAATCTAACCAATTTGTACTTGAAGAAACATCTCTATCATAAAATGCATACTTCATTTTAGGGTTTTTAGGGTGACATGTCTTTAATCACGTTTGCCAAAACACAAATCCGGTAAGCAATATAAAAAGAAGATTTTCGAAATCATATATCAGGACGAACTTAGCAAAAACCCGCATTACTATATTTTTCGTCATTTATTAATCACACAACCAAAAAAAAAAAAAAAAGTCAAAGGGGAGTGCGTGAAAAGTGCATAAGTCAAAATGTGTACCAAAAAAAATGAAGGAAGTCCGTATTTCTATTTTTAGGGGTGAAGGGGAGTTGTAGAATTTGCCACTCTCCTCCAAGACTTCATTTTACATATGACTCCACATCATAGAAAATTCATTGTGTCACACGCGGCGAGTCTCCTAAAATGATTTTCTGTGTTTTTTTTTTTTTTTTTTTTTGATTAAGAGAGAGCCGCAAGGGCAATGACGTAAACGAGATTAGGTCGTGAATACCATCCCCAAAGACTTTTAACCAACTAAGCTAGTTGGCATCACAAAAAATAAATTAATTTTATATAATAGGTCTCAACAATTTTCTTTTAAAGTGGTAGTCCCTAGTCAACCACCAACTTGAGTAGAAGAGGTGACAGAGAGCCAGAATATCCCAAGTAGGGCTGGCAAAAGATGACCCGACCCGAAAACACGACCCGAACCCGACCTGAAAATAGCGGGTTAGGGTTGAGGTTTTCGACCCGAAAACTTAAATGGGTTGACACGAACCCGACCTGAAATTTAAATGGGTTAGGTTAAGGTTCAAAATCTCAACCCGAAATTGACCCACATAACCCGAAAAAAATATGATAATCCAAAAAATAAAAAAATAAAGAAAGTAAAACACGACACAACCCACCTAATAGAAGTAACACCCTAAAATCCTATATGAGTCTCCCAGCCGTCCAACTACACCAGCCAGCCCAAATTTTCCTAACCCTAAGTATAAATTATTGCTTATTCTAGATTTCTTGTCTCTGCCTCTTTCACTCTTACTTCTACTTTTTCTCTCTCTTCAACCCTTTCTCTCTCATTACTCTCATTCATGGTGGTTATTCACCCCACTCATTAATTTTGTTCGGCGTTTCTCCACCACCGTTGCATCGTCGCTCTCTCTTTAATTTGCTTCACCAGCCTCACTTCTTCGTTGCTTCAATATTACTTGACCAATCTCGCATCAGCAAGCACGAGGTCATCAAGTGAACAATAACTAAAGGATATTTCTGCAAATCATTGATCTTGGAGATCAATTTTATTTTAGATCTTATGTATTGTAATTTAATTTGGTTATTAACTTATTGTAGCTTATATATCTACACTTTTAATTTGTTGATTGTATTAATTTGATTATTTAATCAATGATTTCTCTATAAAATTAAGATGCTAATATTAAAAACTGAAATGGGAAATGTTAGATCTGAAATTTTGAGATAATTCATAATCGAAAAATCAATGACCAAAAAAATCAGGTCAGATTCGGGTTGACCCGAACCCGAAAAAATCAGGTTAGGGTTGAATTTTTTGACCCGAAAAGTTAAATGGATCAGGTCCAGGTTAGGGGGTCTTGACCCGAATTTTAACTGACCCGAACACGAACCCAACCGACCTGATCCGTTTGCTAGCCCTAATCCCAAGTTTGGATCCAGTTGTAGAAAATAAGGTTCTTGGCTGCAGAGTGCAGCATCAAGGACCTTAGTAATATATACATGCCAAAATTAGTTATTTACAACAAAGTTTTGTGTTGCATTAATAATGGTGTGGCAACTAAGTACAACAGAGTCAGGACAATTCCAAATAAAACTATGAGAACCAAAATTGAAGAAATGGAAACTTTTGGTGCACACTACCAACAATTGATCATTTTGGGACTAAGGCTCTGTTGTTGTAGAATTTGACAAAAAAAAAAAAAAAAAAAAAAAAAAAAAAAAACAACAACAACAACAACACTAAATAGATTTTCTACCTGACATTGAACTTGTACACTGCATAATTTTCATCATTGTCCAGAAGCTCTACAAGGTTTTCACTTCGAGATGTGTTGCCAAAAGTTGAGGAACTCAATATACCAGAAACTGCATAACTTGACTCAATTATTTCCTTTTGTTCGGACATTACCATTTTCCGGACACTTTCGGTAGCAGACCTAACCTGTGAACAAAACAAAAAAGGATAGAATAAATAAAGCCTTCAGGGGACAAAAAAATATAACATCTTAGAAATTTTATAAGGAGAAGTGGAGAACAGAACTCGAAGGATAACAAAACTTTATCAACATAATCCAAGAAAAAATATTGATCCATTCATCATCTTGAAGATTGTCAGTTCCAAGAAGCATAAAAAAAAGTATATTTTACCACATTGATCTCTTGGGGTTTATGTTTGTGCATATCCAACCAAAAAGAATGCTCATTTGGTCATATGTATTTCCATCCAAACAGTATGCACCCATTCTGCCTTATGAAAGCTAGGAACAATATGTTGTGTAGTTTAACTCTCCCAGTTGACCTAGTTGACAACTATCATTGCTTGAATAAAACTTCTTCAACATGTAGCCTCATCTTTAAAAATAAATAACTTCAATAATTGAATTTCCGCGCGCACACACACACACAAACACACAATATAAAAACCCAGTCTCTGCCTACTAGACTGCTCTGTACCTCAAAATCTCCATGAAATTTTCTTTAACAGTCTCTAGAACCTTAGCTGTTTAACGTAGTAGGTCTTCTTCCTACAAAACACCACAATTTCTCCAATTTATTTCTTACATTGATTGAGAAGAGGCTGCTAAGGGCTTTTTAAGAAATGGCATAGCAAGGTCTGCAAACACAGGATGATTAGCACCATTTGCTCTTAAGTGCTCCTTATCAAGTTCACACACTGCATAAAAGCTCCTAAATAATGATAGAAAGAGTCTTCAACTCCATTAAGGGGGCATCGAGGTACCAGTTATTGTGTCTCGATACTTCATGGATTAGCTGGTTCCACGTTAGGCTTGTAGGTTAAATCCTTCCTCAGCTTCCAATCAATTGGGCTTGGAGGTGTTTTCAAAAAAGAAAAAAATCCAACTCACAGTTTAATCTTGTGAGATTGTGATCTGGAATAACAGATCAAATTCCCAAAATCCATATAAAGAGGTCGTTAAGCTTTTGGTTTAAGTTATAAAGACAAGAGCTTCAATATGAGAAAACTATTTTTATCACTCTCAAACCAATGAAAGTTTCTTAAATGGTTTCCTTGAGCTTTCTTCCTAGAATCTCTAAAATGATGGTAATCATTCCTGTAAGACTTATCTTCCTGGTCTTTGAAATACCATATCTAATGAGTTTCTTCATTTTATTTAAATTACCCATGTCAGACCATCAACATTCGGACATGGCTAAGACACTTAGATATGTCATTTTAGTTTAAAATCATTTAAATTTTTCACAAACTAGCCAAGTTGGATATTTGGACACATATCCGTGTCGGACATGGTACGAGCAACATAGGTAGTAAGGGCAGGTAATCAGGGGTATATGTAATAGTGCCTAGGATGCACAACATCGTGTACAAAAACAAAACGGATATGGAAAAACATTAATTTCAAATTACAGGACACAGGTCAACATGTTACAATCCAATATAATATATTTTTACAAAAAAAAAGAATTCGACAATTCATTCAATAAATCATTTCAAACAATTAGTATCTTAAATATTTAACAAACTAAATTAACATTAATTACACGATTTATCTTTTTCCTCCCTATCTTGTCTTATATTGTCCCTAAAATTTCTCATTAGATCACACACTCTCACATTAACTAAGTAAGAATATCGAAATCAACACTGACACTTAACAAAATCTTAATTTGCATAAAATAAAAAATAAAAAAATAAAAAAAAAAAAAAAAAAAAAAAAACACTTAACAAAATCTTAATACTCTTTTATTTAACACTTAACAATCAGCTATGAAGGCACCTACATGTGTAACTCTTATTTCACTTTAATTTCAAAAAAATAAAATAATAATAAAAAATAAAATTAAAAAACAAATATATACTACCTCCGGACATATTATATGCAACTTTGGGGTATTATTTGTGAGATATAAAAAATTCCAAAGTTGCGTGTAATACGATCCGGAGGTAGTAGCTAAAAAGATGAGGTGGAATGTCAAAAAGAAAAACGGGCTTTGTCATAGTAGGACACAGTTTGTGTCAAAATGTCCGATTATATAAAAATAACCAAACACGGTTTTTTTTGGCACGTCCGAGACGTACTGTCGCGTGACGGTGTCCGACTCGAACTCACCTTATGATCCATCTCTTTCTTATTTTCTTATATAATGTGCCAAATCATAGTGTTAAAATTTTTTCATATAAAGAAATTAAACCACAGATTACAGGCTCACTCATGATAATACGCTAGACTATGATGCTTGGACTCAGATAACTATCCGACTTGGTTATGGAAACAAGTGTAAACATGGAAATTTAAAATATCAAGGACCCAAGTACACATTTCAAAAGTTTCCGAAATTCAGATATGGACCCAGGCAAATGAAAAAACAAAATATGTCTTAAATATTGTTTAAAGTTTTATTTATTTTTCAAACATAAGTAGGAATGATTGTTAATAAGAAAATTTTAGGACAAAGCATTATCTTCTAACAAACCTAAATGAGTGAAACAACAAATCATTTTTTTTAAATTTTTGTTTCTATTAAAATTTTACAAAACTTATTTTAAAATTAATTAAAATCTCTTATCTCTCTTAATCTCCTCCCCTCCCAAAACCCACGACCGACCACCACTACAGTCATTTCTCCCTCCTCCATCCCACAACCCACCACCCTTACAAAGTAACTACAAGTGAAAAGTGGTACTAGAATAAGGATAGGTTAAAATATCTATACAAAACAACTTACCTCAAGATGGAAATCATAATTTGGGTGGTCAAATTATGGCAGAAAGAATGAGCATTATATTATACCTCTAGCAAATGCAAACAAAGAGAAATAAAAAGGACCAATCTTTTTGAGAGCCAAACTACACCTTAGCAGTTTTGGTTCACCAGTTTAAGACTCGTAAAATCTTTTCCCTTAATTCCAAGAGTAATCTTGGAGAAAATGGTAATAAACAATATCCTAAAAAAAGTGGGCAATAACCCTTAAGACAGAAGAAACCTCCACCAGCGGCTTTTATGCCAGTGATTTGCTTATATCTAAGGATTCAACAACACAACAGATAGTTAACCAATTCCAACAGCAATCAGAGACATGGTTTTATTGATAATATCACACCAAAATGCAGAAATTTCAGAAAAGATGTGCTACAAACATTTCTGAAATACTGCTACGTACATATCAGGAATATTCCTTGGCATATAAGTATACAAATGACAAAGGCCCCTCTTCCCCTTTTTCTTCAACACCTCCCCCCCTCTTCCCAAAAAAAGTATTGATGATCATGCTGACAAGGTTCCAGATTCCATTCCTACAGAGCACAGCACTTGATTTAGCTCAAAACGACACTACAGCATATCCTCATAAGCTGGCACAGGACAGAAGCTGAGTGGCTGTTATGCTGAGCTGGAAACATCTGGAATGTTCTAGAACTTTCTATTTTCTGTTACAAGTTTGTTAAGAGGTTGTTAGAAGATATTTTCCTGTAGACATTTTTCTTGTAAAAGAATTCTGTTAGAACTCTTGTATGAATAGCAAAATTGCTGTAATATTTTGTAATCAATCAGATTATATTCTGAAATCAATAAAAACAAACTCTAATTTCTCTCTTTAGAAATTGTTCATAATTTCTCTCTTTAGAAATTGTTCATAATCCTAAATTTCAGAATCTTATCATGATATCAGAGCAGAAGATCTGCTGTTTTTTCCGCAAATTCTTCAGATGATACAGCGAATCTGATACTTATTACAGTATCAGTTCATTAGATTTTCATTTTTCTGATTTCAAATTTTGTAATCAGAAGCAATTTTTCGTTCAAATTCTGCGCTGAAACAAAAAAAAAATCAAGAAGATTTTCTTTATAACAATGGCAGCACAAGATTCTAATTCAAATAATCAGAATCCAAATCAAGATCCTGAATCAGTTTATTACATACATCCAAGTGAAAATTCAGTTGTTCCACTTGTTTCTGAGAAATTCAATGGAGAGAATTATCAGGACTGGAAGAGAGGTATGATTTTGGCTCTCTCGATGAAGAACAAGATGGCTTTTATAGATGGAAGCTTACAGAATCCAGGAGAAGCAGAACCATTGTTCAATGCTTGGAGCAGATGCAATAATATGATAATCTCATACATACTGAGGTCTCTGGATAATACTCTTGCTAAGTGTATTCTTCTCAACTGCATATGAGATCTAGAAGGATCTTGAAGACCTGGACCACAGATATACTCAATACAGCAAACCTTGAACCAAATAGAGCAAGGATCTTCTTCAATTGCTGAGTTCTTCACAAGAATCAAAGGAATTTGGAATCAGATTAGTGCTGCAAATCCAATTCCTCTCTGCAGTTGTTCAAGGTGTACTTGCAATTTGACTCAGAAATTGATGAAAGATTGATTCAATTTCTTATGAAACTTGAGCCTAAACATGCTGGAGTTCGAACAAACATCTTGATGATGAATCCATTGCCTTCCATGTCTGTTGCATATAATCTAGGGGTGTCCATTATTCGGACTCCAGTTTGAAATTCAATCCAATCCAGTCCAAATAAACTATTTGGATTGGACTTTTTTTCATTTGGATTGGATTTGGACTCAAAATTTTGAAATTCGGATTTTCGGATTGGATTTGGACTAATTTTTTAAGTCCAAAAAGTCTTTATCTAGTCCAAATATATATACTACCTCTGTTACATATTATGTGCAACAAAAACATCGACACGGACTCCTAGACAAAATTTGTATGTGTGTAATAAATGGAGAGAGAAATATAAAAAAGCATGTGATGAGGAGAGAGATAGAGAGAAATGACAACCAATAAAAGGAAAGAAAAATTTGTTGCAAATAAAGTGTAGCATCTATTTTTAGTAAATGTTGCACATAATATGAAACGGAGGTTGTATATAAAATTAAAATAATAATAATATAAACCTCAACCCATATAACATTAGAAAGCCCAAACCCAATAGCCCAAATTCGCCAAATCCCCTCATTACAATTTAAAGTTTGTTTTGTTTATCGGAGTTATGATTCTTTTGAATTTCTTAGGAAATTTTTTTAATTATTATTAATTCGGATTGGATCAGACTGGATTCGAACTATGAGATTTTAATTTGGATTGGATTTTGAAAACTAAGGATTCGGATTTGGACTATAAAATGAGAGTCCAAATATATTTCGGATTGGATTGGACTAGGCTTCAGTCCAATCCAAAGTTCGAACGAAAACCCTAATATAATCTGCTCATTCAAGATGAAAGGCAGAAACATATTACTGATGCTATTAACATGCAACCTAGCAGTATGGCCTTTGCAGAGAAAGGAGTGGTAGTTGCAACAGAGCTTATCCACCGGCTGTTCGAGCACCTCTATTTTGTGATCATTGCAAGCTGAACAATCACAATATAAATAAGTGCTGGAAGTTACATGGTTATCTTGCGAAAGGAGATTACAACAAAAACAAAGGGAAGAGAGTCAAAGCTGTTGCTTATGGTGAGAGTCAAGAAGAAGAGGAGTGCACCAACTACTTCACTAAAGAACAGTATGAGAAGCTCATCAGTCTAATTCAGCAAGATAAGCAAAACAGCTCTAAGCAGTTCAATGGAATGGCCAATATGGAGGTAATTGCTTAATTACTTGTCTTAATTCAAAGTGGATAATAGACAGTGGAGCAACAAGTCATATATGCTCAAATCTGAGTCTATTTTATTCATATGATGTGTTTGATAAAATTCCAAGTACAATTACTGTGGCTGATGGAATGAAGGTAGAAGTCAAGCATATAGTAAAATTTGATAATGGTACAGTGCTTAAGAATGTGCTACATGTACCTAAATTGCACTTTAATTTGATATCCACACATAGGATCAATAGAGATATGTTTTGTGATATTGTTTTCACACATGATAAGTGTTTGATCCAGGATCACACCCGGAACACTTCTCTGGTTCTTGGTAATTCGGAATCACGTCTATATGCAGTGCAATATCAGATGGTGACTTGAAGAAGAATGAGAGTAGAGTTTCTTCGGTGAATTTGTCTGTAGGAGATGAAGCAAAGTTGCTGCACTTGAGATTAGGTCATTTTCCTTTCAATAAAATGAGTTATGTAGATTCTAAGTTCTCAAATAAAACTTGTAATGACAGTATTTGTCAAATCTGTCCAAAAGCTAGACAAGCTAGGAAGCCTTTTTCAAAGGATAGTGTTAAAAGTGTTAAGTGTTTTGATCTCTTACATGTACATACTTGGGGTCTCTACAAAATAAGAACTCTTGATGGTCGTTCTTATTTCTTGACTGTTGTAGATGATATGTGAAGGCATACTTGGACATTTCTAATGTAAAATAAGTCTGATTGTGTTGATATTTTGGAGTTTTTGATTACTTTTATTCATACTCAATTTGGTTTGTATGTTAAATGTTTGAGAACTGATAATGAAAATGAATTATGTGAGGGAAGAATACTGTCAGTATATGAGAAGTTTGGGATTTTTCATGAGAGAAGTTGTGTAGATACTCCACATCAAAATGGAGTTGTAGAGTGGAAGCATAGACATCTTTTAGAAACAGCAAGAGCTTTGTTCTTTCACTCCAAAGTTCCTGCAAGATATTGGGGAGAGTGTTTGCTTACTGCCACACACTTGATAAACAGGATGCCATTGTCCTGTATTGGTTATGTCACACCCTATGAAAAGATTCATGGAGTTGCAGCTAGCATTGATCATTTTAAGGTCTTTGGATGCTTGTGTTATGCTGCAGAGAAGGGGGCAATACCTTGTGTAATGCTTGGATATGCAAGTGGCAAAAAGCTTATAAGCTTTTGAACTTAGAAACTATTATAGTCTTTGTTTCTAGGGATGTTACTTTCCATGAAAGGCATTTCCCATTTCATTCCGCAAACAAAACATACAAAACATACAACTTTCACTTTTGACTTTGACCCTGATATGCCTGCCACCTGAACTAAACACTACAACTTAACCCAGAACCACAAACAGAACCTCAACCTGACCCTAACATTCCAAATACACCCAAATACAAACCCCTACTAGACCTACAAAGAAACCAACTTGGATGATTGATTATGTGTGTGCAGTTGATTCTGAAACTTCTCATTGGTGTAATTTTGTTGCCTATGATGAGTTTCATGTTCCCTCTTTCATTGCTCAGGTTTCAAGTGTGACCGATTCAGCTACTTATTTTGAAGCAGCATAGCATTCTCAGTCAAAGGAAGTTCACAAAGGAATTACTCGAAGGTTGTGCTTTGGATGTTTCAAAGATTGCTAATACACCTCTGCCAATCAGAAGTTCAAGGTGAATTGTATGGTGTTCCAGAGCATTATAGATGCTTGGTAGGAAAATTAAACTTTTTGCTATTCAAACTCTCACTCAGCTTATGCACAGTCCAAGGTTACAGCATGTCAAAGCTTTACAACACCTTTTAAGGTATATAGCTGGTACACTTGGTCAAGGCTTACTTCTAGAGGCTGCTAAACAACTGACACAGCCCACATTGACAGTAGAAGGTCCGTTACTAGATACTTAATGATGCTTGGCAAGAGTCTTATTTCCTGGAAATCTAAAAGGCAATCTACTATATCAAAGTCATCAGCTGAGGCTGAATCTCGTGCCATGGCGGCAGCAGCAGAGATTGAATGGCTTGTTAGACTGCTGCAAGATCTTGGTGTTATAGGTCTCAAACCAGTCAAGCTAAACTGAGTGAGCAATACACTTGGGATAAAATCCAATTATGCATGAAAGAATTAAGCATATTGAGATTGACTGCCACTTAAATAGAGAAAAAGTGTTGGAGGGTCTTATTGACATATTAACAAAAATCCTTCCTGCTCCTCAACTGTCTAAGTTGTTATCCAAACTAGGTTTGTCTGAGTCATCCACACACAGCTTGAGGGGGGGTATTGCTGATCATGTTGACAAGGTTCCAGATTCTATTCCTACAGAGCACAACACTTTTGATTTAGCTCAAAATGACACTACAGCATACCCTCATAAGCTGGCACAGGATAGAAGCTGAGTGGCTGTTATCCTGAGCTGGAAACGTCTGGAATGTTCTAGAACTTTCTATTTTCTGTTACAAGTTTGTTATGAGTTTGTTATGAGGTTGTTAGAAGATATTTTCCTGAAGACATTTTTCTTGTAAAAGAATTCTGTTAGAACTCTTGTATAAATAGCAAAATTGCTGTAATATTTTGTAATCAATCAGATTATATTCTGAAATCAATAAAAACAAACTCTAATTTCTCTCTTTAGAAATTGTTCATAATCCTAAATTTCAGAATCTTATCAAAAAGGGAAAGGAAAATGAAATGCAAGGAATAATACAGTAACGAATGCAGCTGAATAACTATTTTTGACTATAATGTTATTTCTTGATACAAAGCTGTGATGATTAGATTTGCTGCATTTGCTGAAGATAGCACAAGGAAAAAACATGAAGCTTTCTGTGTAATGAATTAAGATCGAATTTATTTGCATATTCATTAGTTACAACCTACGTCCAGCTGAAGTAATGTATCCAATGAACTAATGATCAAGAAGCTGTAACATATAATTTACAGTGTACTCAATAACCTTAAGGAGAAATCTACAGAAAAACGGTCACACTGAAACTAATACTGTTTTCGGACTGGGTAACAGACTCAGGAGAGCCTGCGGCTTAGGAGAAATTTACAGTAGTGGCTAGTGTGTAGCAACAGCAGTCACAAATAGCAAAATCACACGAGTAATTTGAGTGCAGAAAAAAATCAAGTCTTTTCCATACCATTCAAAAGTTATCTCTCATAGAAAGGCTGATTTACCTTCTCATCTCCTAAAGGAACAACTTCACCAGTTAAAGCAATTCGAACAGGAAGCTGTAACACCAAAGAAAAACGAAAAAAAAAAATTTAAAAAAAAAAAAAGGATGATTGTCAAGTGTCTAACAAATATTAGCTACTTTGTTTAAGATTACATTTTTAAAACTGACCTTTTTCATTGATCTAAGTAAATTTGCAAGTGGCCCAGGGTAAGGCCTGGGCACCGCAAAGGAAGCACGTTCGTCAATGAGAGTATTCTGCACCCAAGAACAAACCACAAGTTATAGCTGCCAAATTACTCAAGGAAAGAATTCAATCTTTCCATTAATGTTACAGAGTAATACATGGACTCAAATCTTACTTGAAAACTTCACACAGTCAAAATACGCGTTTTCCAAATCTTAGATTTTAATATAAGATAAGGAAATCAAACCAAAAATGTATCAAAATTCTTATTAAATACAAATTTGATTTTTACTCACAGCCATTTCAATCCCACAATCCTAACATAAACAAATTACAAACCATTGTACTTTCACACATAGCAAAATCAAATTTTGTGACGCAATTGTAGAAATCGCCTAATGTGCGGGAAAATTAAATGAATAAACACATACAAACAAGCAATTACAAAAGGAGGAAAGAAACTGAAATTATAGGTCACCATACCACATTATGCAAGTCCTTTTCAGGAACCCAAATATAAGGCTTCCCCTTCCTCAGTAAATACTTCACTTTTGAAGTATATATTTCCTGCTTGCTAAAAAAAATTAAATGGGTATTAACACATATCATTATTAAAATAAAATTAAAAAAAAAAATAAGAAATTGGTTTGAAGAAAATAGCAATACCTTCCTTTAGAATCAGCTTTAATGGTATTAAGATTGCCATGCCAATTTGACGCCAAAATATTCTGCAAAATGAGGCGAATTTGAAGTATGATAAATTTGAAACAAGTAAATAACCAAAAATGGATATTGCCAAAAAATTAAAATGACATAATTTGTATCAATCAACAGGAAAGGGAGAGAAGAACCTTGCATTTTTGAGCTAACGCTAAGGCTTGGGATTTGGTGGCTTTCATGAGTAATCAGGTCCTTTGATGTTGTTGTTTAGGTGTTCGACGAAATGACTGACTGAAGATTGAGCGGGAACTGGGAAAGCGTTGTGCAACGGGGGCAGAGGGCGTAAGAGAGAGGCTGAGAGGGAGAATATTAGAGTAATGTTAAACCCGAGCAAAGTGCCAAAGTGCTGGGGTTTAGTCGTTTAGAGTCCTAGTCTCCTTTTTGGATGCGTGTTTAAAAGTGTTAGGGAAATTCACATTGGTATTGACTTTTCCATTGACACTTCAAATTTTTTGCCTTTTCATCGGTACACCCATGGTTTGGTTTTTTTTCCAACCGTAACTAACACCGTTAAAAAGTATTTCATTAACTTAAAAAAATTAAGGAAAAAACTATAATACCCCCTTTAAACATCTAATGTCTTGATTTGCCCCTGTCGAAAATTATTCGGTTAAAGTTTTGGGAGTCATGTTAGTCGTTAAGGATCCAAATTAACCTCGAAATTAGCAAAAAAATAACGCAAATGTCTCATATGCGTTCAAAAAATATCTCGATTTGCGTGCCATTACTTTTTTGTGATAATTGTTTGGTTAAAGTTTTAGGGGTCATTTTGATCCTTTATGGATCTAAATCGAACTCGAAATTGTCAAAAAATTAACGAAAATATCTCATTTTGCACGTCATGATATTTCTTTTTTGTTTTGTCATGACACGCAAAACGAGACATTTTCGTTAATTTTTTGACAATTTCGAGTTTGATTTAGATCCTTAAAGGATCAAAATGACCCCTAAAACCTTAACCGGACAACTACTATCACAAAAAAGTAACGGCATGCAAATCGAGATATTTTTAGACATGCACATGAGACGTTTGCGTTATTTTATATTTTTGCTAATTTCGAGGTTTGGATCCTTAAGGACTAACATGACTTCCAAAACTTTAACTGAACAATTTTCGACACGCAAATCGAGACATTAGATATTCAAAAGGGGTATTATAGTCTTTTCCTTATTTACTTTAACTTAATGAAATACTTTTTAACTGTGTTAGTCACGGTTGGGAAAAAGACTAAACCATGGGTGTACCGATGGGAAGGCAAAAATTTTGGAGTGTATCACTGGGAAAAGTCAAAACCACGGGTGTACCAATGGGAATTTCCCAAAGTGTTATAGTACCTCCGTTCAATGTTACGGAGTATGTCATTTATTGTGCAGCTTTTGCCAAAATATGTGCAATTTTTTATTTTCTTTTTTATTTTACTGAACAAAAAAAAAGGTCGTTTTGTTATAAAATAGGGAGAAACATAAGAGATTGAGAGAGAATTAATCTGTTTTCTTTCATTCCATAAGACCATCATCACTCATGGTATAAAAATTTATACCATCCCTCTCTTTCTACTACTTTCTCACTCCTCCACATCATGTATACCACAATACAATATACTTTCTCCAAAAATCATCTCACCCATGGTATAAAAAAAAGTTTTACCACCACACTTTCTCTCTCCTATTTTTATTAATAATACACTTAATTTAATTATAATTATATTTCATTTTATTATTGGAAATAACTAATTAATGTTTGTAAAGTTAATTAAATAAAATAAGCAATTTACGTAGTAAAAGCGAATTTGAAAAAATATATAAAACTATATCAAAATGGGTGTCTATGTGTAGATCTTGAACAATGGTAATTTTTTCGTAATTTTTAACTTTATAATTTTTTCTTAAAATGCAATTGAATAAATAAATAAATAAATAAATGATAACCAGGCCACATGGCGTGACCTGGTTGGTTCATGTTTCACGGGGATCGAAGAAAATGTTTACCATGAGATGATATATACCATCAAATGGTATACTTTTATACCACCAATGTAGTGAAAAATTGCAAGTTTTTACATCGTGGTATAAAATTATACCACGAGTGTTGATGCTCTAAGATGATATATAATATATACATACATTATAATTAGGGTTTGGTTGGATAAAAATGTAAACCCTACATTTAGAATATTCCGGAATGATACATGAGGATAATGGATATCCACAAATATTTCATAACACTCCCCCTTGGATGTCCATTATCGAAGATTGTGCCTCGTTAAAACCTTATTAGGAAAAATGCCGTGGGATAAAAACCTAATGAAGGAAAAACAGTACACATTCTTTGTAATACGCTCGAGATGCTGACTCATTAAAAACCTTACTAGGAAAATCCAATGTAGGACAAAACCATGGCCAAGGGAAAAAGAGTGCAACGCGTATTTTGTCCCCCTGATAAATACATAACTTGAGATCTTCTAGTGCCGCAATAATGAATCCAATTTTGGCTAGGTGTCTTATCATATGTAGTAGAATATCATTCCTTGCTCTTCAACCCTTCTAATTTGATTTTGCATCTTCAAGTCTTCATGTGGACATATAAAGTATCTTCATTTTACTATGTATGGATCTATATCATTCAAAGCCTCTGTTTGAATAAAGTTACTTTAAAAGTTAAACTTATGCGATTACGCCTTCTTCTGGAGGCCGTGAATAATAGACGATAATCATTATTTTAATTGAACATTCCTTAATGACAACACATGATATTATTAATGTTGCAATTCAATCTCATATTAATATAATGCATGTAGTTATATACATTGATAATGGTCCTTCTAGACCATAATATATAAAATAGTCTCACGCATAAGTACCCGTTGATATTTTTTAGAATATTCATAATTGACATGATAGACCTTTTGCAAATACAAATGGTAATTCTCAATCTTCGGGTTGAGATATCATGACGTAGTCACATAGACTAAAAAGTTTGATAATAATTACAATATTCAAAATATAAAATTTGTAGGGCTATAAATACGTTGCATTTAAGTTCTTCGGGAACTTTTCTTACATGATTCATAAATAATATTAAATCAACGTCATATATAATTTCATCATAATTATAAGCCCATTGGAATGTAAATATGTCTTTCAAATTTTTCATCAAAATTGTAAATATGCTTTACTATATATATAATAATGAACATTTACGTATACCACAAATATTATATTGAAACAAATGCATGCATTTTGATACATGCTAAACAAAAATTACAATGATTAATGCATATAACAACTTTTGATACATGCAATGAATAATGCATTAACCTAGACTCATGAATGCATATAAACATACATAGGACTTAAAATAATGCAAGACACTGTACAGTGTGGATTTAAAATCCATATGTCATTGGACTTCTGGTTTATGATAAACTTATGATAATCATCATTATGTCGACATCAGAATGGACATATATTTCAAATCCCTTATTCACTAGTCCATTATATCACGCATATGCATTATTTATCGGTTCCATCATATATGATAAATCTATTTTATATATATTTTTATTCCCCGTCCCACGGTCATATTTGTGCTTATTTGAGCTCTACATAGCTATTTTTATTACTAATATACGTTTTCTAGTGTTTTTGTAGAGTTGATATTATTTTGTAGGAATTTGCAGATTTCTAGAAATTTCCCGAGCTTATTAAACCTCTTTGAAGATATTGGAGAAGGATCGTATTTTTATGACCGTAAATTTAAAGCTCAAGGTCGTGCTAAATAAATTTGGTTTGGTGATTAAGGGCTCAATTAAGTGAAAGAAGTCTAATGTTCTTGCAGGAACTACGGACCACTCTAATGGAGAATTTAGACTCAGGTTAACAAGGTACAAGTCAAAAGTCCAAAAGTAAGAACCAACTTTCGGAAGGTGTAGCCGACCCAAACAAGCAACTGAGCACGACCGAGCACTTGAGAGTTCTTTGTTGCTGCGTGACTTTTATATTTGGGCTCAACAATTGGAAGCCCATTAATGTGGGCGATGATAGTAATACCCAGTAGGAGATTTCACGCAGCCGCCTTTGCTTTAGGGGGAATTAGAAGTTGTCAGTTGACTTGGATTAAATCATCTTTTTCTTTCTTATAAAAGGGGGATGCAGTGCGTAGCTTTGGGGTTCATTAGTTGTAGTTTTAGTTTTAGGTGGTTATTAGTTTAGTTTTAGTTTGTTTAGCTTTTCCTTAATTAGTTTTGAGATTAGTTTAGTTTTAGTTTTCTTTTCTCTTTCTCTCTCTAATTTCTCTCTCTCTCTCCTTTTAATTAAACTCTTAGTATTACTTTCTCTCTTATTTTCTCTCTAAACTTTTTATTTATGCAATTTTATATTTCTTTCTTTTGGTACTATCTCTTCCCTCTTTATTTACTTATTTTCTTTGCTTTGATCTTAACCATGTCTCCTTTAATTGCTTTGTTTAATTTATATTTAATTATGTGTGAGTAGTTTTCTTTCTAGGGTTTGTGGGGATCCATAAATAATATGAAGGGGTAATTTATTGTTGTTGATTGTCAATGCTTAATTAATTTTCTATTGATTGATTTACTGCTCTGTGACTATATTAGGCCTGATCTTTTATACATGAGTTTGACAATATTGATTCGAGATTCGACAGATGAGAATTGATGTTTAGGTCTAGTTTCAATAGGCAGGTTAATTTATAAATGGTTAAGTCAAGATTCGAGAGTTGAGATTTAATACCGGTAAATTAATTGTGTGATTGTAATACGTAGCGAAAGCCCTTTATGATCTGATTAATGTATGCATTGATGATTGATTATTATGTTTTACCCTGGAATATTATTTATTGGTGAACCTATGCCCTAGACCTTTTATTCATTGTTTATCCTCCTACTCTTAATCTTCGTAGTTTAGTTTCCTTTGATTACAATATATTGGTTACTCTATAATCTAGATTATATTAATTAGTTAGGAATAAAAAGACTCGTTTCCCTGTGGATTCGACCCTACTTCCCTATCTATTTTAGTTAGTGGTTTTAGGAATTACTTTTGATTAGGGGATACGACTTTACCCTGTCAATATACTGGTATCATCATATAATTTCTCAAGACACAATTTTAATTTGCATGCTATTTTGATAATGATATCATTATACATTTTTTTCATTGGTACCATCATAATTTTTCTTACATCATAGGCCATCTATTCTAATAATTTAGATATCTATACCACTTTTAGGGTATTTGACTAGCTAAAGTCGTATCACCCAATCAAAACTAATTCCTAAATCCTCTAACTAATGCAAATAGGGAAGTAGGGTCTAATCCACAGGAAAACTGGTCTTTCTATTTCTAA